AGGAGTGTTGGGATCTCTGCTGCCAGCTGTGGGGTGGAGGGACCACCTACCCTTGCTACAGTGGAAGAGAATTGGTGAGAAAATGTTTCTGTTTGCATGTTTTCTCCTTTTCTTGCAGCAACACCCTGTGAAAGCACGACCATGACAGGCTAGTGGTCTTACATTGGGCGATTCGAGGTCTCCTTCCCTTAGGCAAGCAGGGGACTGCACTTGCAAGTGGGTAGATGGATCATGAAGCCAGCTTCTGGCATGAGCCTGGTTGGACTGCAGGTGGCAGTGGACTGTGGTGTAAAAGGGCTGGGAGTGTTGAGAGAGGTGTGTACGGCAGATGTGTGGGGTGGCAGAGGGAGGGAAAGTTAAGTCACAGTAAGTTTCTAGGCAAAGAGTCTCTGACTACCTTTTCAGTTGTTTGATGTGCTGTCCCGCAAGGGGGGAATTTTTCTGCGTCCAGAAAGTGAACAAAACGTATAAGCTGGCATCTCAGAGACACTGGCTTCCTGCCAGTAATGCTACTGAGATGCAGGGTTTTCTGGATCATGCTGCCTGGGTGGTGTTGCAGACCCAACTGTGTGGGCAGTGATTGCTGTGTTGTGTGCCAAGGCCTAAGCTACAGCTGCCTGTGGAGCAAGAACTGCAGGATGCTGCTCGAGGGTAAGCAGCAGGATCTGAGCAGTAGGACTAGGCTACATGGGTACCCATGCTTTTCTGTGGAGGGTAGTTGTTAAGAGCCTGTAGCATAAGCGCACAGGGAGGGATGAGTCAGAGAACGCATGCATTAGGAAGCTGATGGGACCATGTCACCCCTCTTCAGATGTGTGGCATGTGTAGTGTATTCCTCCCTGCACTATTGTTGAAGAGTCTGGGAAGACCCTCCTGCCAACTTGCAAGGTTCAGACTGGACCCCTTTGCTTTCTAAACTGCTTCTAGCCCGTTTAATGCAGCTCAAGATGGGTGCCTCCAAGAAGAGGAACCCCCCTGGTTATTTTCCCATGCTTTCTAAAGCCTCACAATCTATGACATAAGCTGATCACGCACGTGTTCACGCAACGTGTGTATCTTTTGTCCAATCAAATTGTTCAACGGTTACGTGTCCTCCTTGATGACTGGAGTTTTAATGCAGGGCCTTTTACCTTCTTACACAGTTTCTTAATCTCTTTGTCCCATCTGCACCTGGATCTCATCCGTCTTCTGCTGACTCCAGGTAGAGTGGTCTCTTTCATCACTATCTGCACCTAAAATTCACCTGTCTTCTGCTGACTCCAGGTGGAATGGTCCCTTTCTTCATTTCCAAGAACTATAGTTCAGTCATACAATCTTCATTAATATTACCTATGCGATTTCATTAAGTTAGTTAAGTTGCAATGTATCAAAGTCATACAAAACTACTAGCCCTTCTTCTTGGACTAAGAAGGAGTTCAGCCTAAGTTCACTATGTTGCTAGGTTACAGCTTGCGGTCTGAGAAAGGCTTCACCATCTAGCTACTTATGCTAAGCAAAACTTCAGTTTCCAACAACCATCAAGGTCTGAGTCCTGCATAGAGAGAGATCAAATACCAGCAAAACCTTTTATGTGTCAGGATGTGGTATCCCAGAGTTTTCCTATGGAAAATGAGCGTGAGTACATGTCAATTTTGCATGGGAAGTGCTTGTAGAGCACTGCAGGCTCAAAACTGGAAGGGATCTTTGTACTGAACATTGAGGACCTTTGGCTGTTTTTCTCCGTCATGCATGCAATCCCTGTGATTTGGCCTGCCGCAGTGCTGAGATAAGCACGGTTCCTCACAATCTCCTGTGCTGAGACTAAGAGCTATGCTGGTATATGTGTTAGAATGGAGAAAATGAGAGTAGTGCCCTCCTTCTGTATGTATTAGGGAGTCCACTGGGAAGCCTTGGAGTTAGGGGTGTCCTGACCAGCTGGGCAGAAGTAGTAGCAGAAGTACACAAGAGCAGCTCAAACAAGAGCGGACAGCCGGAGACAGGGGAGGAAGCAGTGCTCTATTAGTCGGGGTGTTGGACCACGTGTACAGATTGAGATGTGGATTGTGTAGGTCATATTGAATTACTTAAAGCAATGAGGGTTCTACTTGTGTTCATAAGAGGCCAAGCTTTGTTGGTTTCTGCTTAGGTACATAACCTTGTACACATGGAGAAAGCTGCAGTGCTGGTATGGAAGTGGAAACTTTTTTTTTTTCTACAGTCTTGGCCTTTGCAGTAGAAGGCAGGCTGAACATAGGACCAGAACTGTTAATCACACCTGAGTAACAGCGTTTCAATGACCTTGATTTTCACCAAAAAGTGTAGGTATGGGTGTATAGACAGTGTGGTGTCTTGGAATATCGTTTACCAAAGGCTAGCTACGGGTCAGCGTTGCCCCTTTCCATTGGTAGTTTGCAAATCATGGGTTATGCAAACTCATGGCTCTAGCAAGGATGTTGCAAAACTACCTGTCGCCCAGGCTTTCTGATCAGGACCAATCAGAGTCATTTGCCTTCTCTCTGATCTTGCCTCATGATGACCACTAAAGGTCTGAGCACAGTAGCTTGTAGTTCTTTATAGCAGGGCATGGCCATTACGTTGTTTTGCTAAATGTCTATAACACAATTAATAAACCTAAGTATAATTGCTGAAATTATTACTATAGAGCATAGAACCAAGTGAGAAATTTCTGCAATTGCTGAAAACGTCTCTGAGTCTGACAGAATGAGAGACGTATGCACAGTACCTATAACTGAAGGCTAGCAATCGCTGCTGAGCAATGTTCCTCTGGCAGGCCATGTATCTCAGTGCCTCGGCCATGCCTCAGAGTCTCCATTGTGACATTATAACTTTGTAAGCCATTGCTTATCGATGCAGTTGTGGTAAAATCTGTCATTCTTCAAAAACATACAATAAAATTCAATGTCCTACAGAAAAGCATAAACCAACAGTTACTATGTAAGCACATGAGGATACCTAATGCACACATGTATATGCTGCCATAAGAAATTAAAGTCTCTGAACTCTGTTTTAAGTTGAGATTGATTAGGAGTCTTTATTTCATATGAGACTTCAATCTTTCTTCTAGGTATATGGCTTCTTGTTTCCCCAGTTACAACACCCAGTTAATTAAACGGGGGTTGCAATAACTGCGCCTTACGCAAGTTGATCTCTTACTTTTAAAACTTCTCTCACGCATCTTCTGTAGCTCTAGTCACTGGAATATCATCTACATGAGGTAATAACTTGATTTCTTGTAGCTCTTAATGTCTCGTAGCTCTTGTGGCTCTTAGTATCACACACACAGTGACACATATATATTAAAAAATGCATATGTTCATACGTATATTCCATATGCAGATGTTACAATATATGTCGGTGGTCTATTAAGCATGATCACTGTTAAAATAATGTTAATAAAACATCAAGTCTCATCAATAGAAATGGGGTTTCTCTTGTTTGAAGATGAAGGTGACCTTAAACTGGATCCATTTTCTTTTATTTCCTCTGTTTGGGTATATTTTCCTCTTGCTTTTAACTTCAGTCATGGCAACTAATGTAAAAAAACCTCTCCCAACACCCAGAAACCACCCATACCCCTGCCTGAAGGCCCCAGATGACTCTACATGTCTCCAACCTCCTTCTGCCCCCTGATTCTGTCTTTCTGGCAGTCATGGGGACATCTGTGCACCCTCAGTCCCATGCCACATGGGAATGGGATGTATGCCATGTATGCATAGAGGCATGGAGCCCTCAAGGGGGTCCAAACTAGAAGAAACAGTTTCTGCTCGAGTAATAACTGAACATAGCTTTGCGTGATGCGAAGTGGTTCCATCAATCACAGTTAAAGCTTTGGAAAAGCACTCTGGAAATAGAATAAGCTAATGGCCTCAACAATCTCTTTAGTTTGTTTTGCAGGGTGGTACTTTGAGGGCCAACAACTTGAAGAGACGCAGCTTGACCTGATTTGTTGCTTTTAGTGATATTTTAAAGAAGCATGTAAGTATAGAAGGAGTCTAGGAGTGTTAGGAAGAAAGGCAAGAGTAAGGATGGTTTGAAACAGAGGAAAAGGTAAGTACCATGACGACTGAAGTTGGTAAAGTTGGAGAGAGTTTGGGGTTATGCTGAGCCTTGGCCTCATCAGTGAAGAAAGAACCTGTGTGGTAGGCACGTGGTGGGTGAGTGTAGCTGGAGTGTGGCGAGGGGTGGGCTGGGCTGTCTGGTCTGGGGCACACAGGGAGGGAGAAGAAAGGCAAGAGGATCTGAAGGAATGTAGGGTGCAGACTTTTCCTCTCCGATTGCTTCTTAGGCACGCAGGGTCACTCACGAGGTTCCCCATGGCTCCTCCTGGAACTCTGACAGCCACACAAAGCACCCAAGGCACTGGCATTTGCACAAAAACAGCACCGCTCTTGTGTGGGACTGCCACCCTGACATGCTGCCAGCAAAAGCCTTCTGCCCAAAGGCTCTGCAGACATTCCTCCAACCAGCCCCCAACTCCCCCATAGCTGCTAAACCCTGTGCCAAACCCACCATCAACCCTCAAAGTTCCAGGGCGTCAAAACACCCCCAGACCTGGACCAATAGCCCCCAACCCCAAACCTGCCCCAACACCACCAATGATTCCAGCACTGCCCTGAACCC